TGCATGCGTGCGTGCGTGTGTGCGTGTGTGCATGCGTGTGTATGCGTGTGTGCGTGTGCACGTATACGTGCGTGCGTGCGTGCGTACACGTGCGTGCATGTGTGCGTGTGCACGTACACGTGCGCGCGTGCGTGCGTGTGCAAGTACACGTGCGTGCGTGCGTGCGTGCGTGTGTACGTACACGTGCGCGCGTGCGTGCGTGCGTGCGTGTGCAAGTACACGTGCGTGCGTGCGTGTGTACGTACACGTGCGTTCGTGCGTGCGTGCGTGCGTGTGCACTTACACGTGCGTTCATGTGTGCGTGCGTGCGTGTACACGTACACGTGCGTGCGTGCGTGCGTGCGTGTGAACGTACACGTGCGTGCCTGCGTGCGTGTGTGAGTGCGTGTGTGCGTGTGCACGTATACGTGCGTGCGTGCGTGCGTGCGTACTCGTGCGTGCATGTGTGCGTGTTCACGTACACGTGCGCGCGTGCGTGCGTGCGTGCGTGTGCAAGTACACGTACGTGCGTGCGTGCGTGCGTGCGTACTCGTGCGTGCATGTGTGCGTGTTCACGTACACGTGCGCGCGTGCGTGTGCAAGTACACGTACGTGCGTGTGTACGTACACGTGCGTTCGTGCGTTCGTGCGTGCGTGTGCACTTACACGTGCGTGCGTGCGTGCGTGTGAACGTACACGTGCGTGCGTGCGTGTGTGAGTGCGTGCGTGCGTGTTCACGTACACGTGCGTGCGTGCGTGCGTGTGTGTGTGTGTGCAGGTACACGTGAGTGCGTGCGTGTGCACGTACACGTGCGTGCGAGCGTGCGTATGCACATATACGTGCCTGCATGTGTGTGCACGTACACGTGCGTGCGTGCGTGCGCGCGTGTGCAGGTACACGTTCGTGCGTGCATGAGTGTGTGCGTGCGTGTGCACGTACACGTGCGTGCGTGTGTACGTACACGTGCGTGCGTGCGTGTGCACGTTCACCTACGTGCATGCGTGCGTGCGTGCGTGCGTACGTGCGTGCGTGCGTGTGCACGTACACGTGCGTGCGTGCGTACGTGTGTGCGCGCGTGTGCAGGTACACGTTCGTGCGTGCATGAGTGTGTGCGTGCGTGTGCACGTACACGTACGTGCGTGTGTACGTACACGTGTGTGCGTGCGTGTAAATTTACACGTGCGTGCATGTGTGCGTGCGTCCGTGTGTGTGCACGTACACGTGCGTGCGTGCGTGTGTGCGTGTGCAGGTACACGTGTGTGCATGTGTGCGTGCGTGCGTGTGCAGGTACACGTGTGTGCATGTGTGCGTGCGTGCGTACGTGCGTGTGTGTGCAGGTACACGTGCGTGCGTACGTGCATGCATGTGCACGTAGACGTGCGTGCGTGCGTGTGCACGTACACGTACGTGCATGCGTGCGTGCGTGCGTGTGCACGTACACGTGCATGCATGAGTGTGTGCATGCGTGTGCACGTAAACGTGCGTGCGTGCGTGCGTGCATGCATCGCTATGACATGACATAACATACTAAACATGAAACATCGCTATTACGTCAGTATCATTGAACAACTCTGATTGGCTGATGAATTGTACAATCAGGCGATTTTATCGCCGGCCCCGGACACACTAGGCAATTTTATCGAGCGACTGAAATAATCACCCGATAATATCAAAACGTTTTAATCTATGCGATTAAATCGGGCGACTAAATCGGTGGCGATTGAGTGGACACACTAGGTCTTAGTCGCCCGATTTAGTCACCCGATTTAATCGCCTAGTGTGTCCGGCCCTTAACGCTGAACGCTCCCGCACTCGCCGCTGCGAGTGTGCTGTGGCGCAATGATAATATATATCTATATATATATATTGGTATTTGTGTATGTGCGTTCATATTATTTACAGTTTTTACTGACTCTGTCCCAAGTGCCTGTGGTTTGGCTTTTAGAAAATGTTACAAAGATGACCATGTTCCAGTGAAAAGTTGGGGAAGTTCTGTAGATGTAGTATCCATTTACTTGTTGCTTATATCCTACCTATTCCACTGTTTGCTCCTGTGATAATGACAGTCTTGCCTTCCATGGTCACGCTGCTTAGATATATGGTTATAGTATAGTTTCTGTACTGACGAATCAACCATAGAGAAAGTGCAACTGCTACTCCAACTCCGAGGAATGGAACCAAGTATGACATCACTATAAAAATAAATATTTTTACTATTAATCAATCTAATAACATATTATGTAAATTATTTGGTTCATCTATGTGCCATTGCTCAAATACAACTAATCGCTTGAACATAATTAAACACCAAATCATTATTAAACTGTATTGCTGAATTATTTCTTAGATGCTGAACAACCCCCAAACAACATTATTAGAAGTGACATGTCCTAAATCACATTAAGAAAACTGCTGCAGCCTTTGACCGCATCTAAACTAATTCACATCAATTCGATCACATTTTATTTCATCAGGCAGTGGTATTAGACATGTCCCCTTCTTTATCCTGTATAAAAACTAAGCGTTAGGGGTCAGAGAATGCCAGGATGAAAATGCAAGTATAATGATCATACCTCGCCATGAAAATCCAGGAATAGTGTTACACCATCCTGGTTCAAAATGAATCAGCATGCAAAAATGAACATAGCTGACAGTTGACTTTCAGCCAACCTTCAACTATCCCATTCTAGGACGTCACTATAGGAAGAGTCACTACGAGTTCTAGGAAGATGGAATTGGACATCGATCAGGTCGACTTCTTGACGCTGGTTTTAATATCATAAATTAATTTACTATATATAAGACAAGAGAGTTCCAGTAAGGAATTACCGAAGCAAAAAACCAAATCAAAAGGGTTTTTTGAGATCAATATATGGCAAAATCAGTGGCCAAACACAGAAGCCTGAGTACCACTAGACATTTGTCAGGATTGAAGGTTATGCACCGTCCATGACTTTTCAACACAAGTAATGTAACACTGCCAGGCCAATTATTCATCCTTACGGTAGACTGTAGTATAAATGCAGTGTAGATCGTGCAACAAAGACGTTTTTACTGCCTAGTCAGCGGAAACGCGCATATAATTAGTGCTGCCATTCATATATCACTTCCAGGTTCTGTGAATGTTTCACGGTCGTGAGAAATTCACGTCGTAGGATGCGTGACGGTGACGTAGTGAAACTTAGATAAAGTAATTTATGCTCGTAGGGTCTATGTCCCCCTGACCTCTGTTTGACCTGGCTCGTTTAGCTATTTCTGACTAACTCTAACCCTAACCATCATATAATATATATAATGGATATAATATATATAATGGAATAACAGAGGTCAGGGGGACATAGACCTATAATAATCTATATATTATCCTGCTGGTATGGGCACTATGCTCTCATAGTGTTGCTGACGGAAGAATAGTGCCCGCAGCGGTAGCGGCGGGCACTATTCTTCCCAAAGAACACTATGAGAGCATAGTGCCCCCAACAGCAGGGCATTAATGTTTTTAGTGCATCACATGACTTGCAATCTACTTTTCATGCGTATATACTTCTTTATACTCCCTAATTTGCCGTGGACATTCGATGTAACAAACGTTCGCACACAAACACAACCGCCGTTGAAATTACTCTTGCGTGGCGCCCAGACGCAGGAGATTCGTGACGTAAACACAATGCGTTATAAAACAAACTGCGTCGCGCAAGCGATAGTGCCGCTCAGGCGGGCACCTATCGCTTCATAGATGCCTGCTGCGTTATCCATGAGATTGCAATCTATTTATCACGTCATGCACTAATATAATAAATAATATATAATAATAATATATATTAATAATATATATACATAAATTATATAAATATGATAATATCTATATATATATATAATAATTAGCTAAACGAGGCCAGGTCAAACAGAGGTCAGGGGGCATAGACTTATCTGCGTAACTTAATTTATGGCTACCGCAGACTTACACGCGACTCACTTGAGACACGTAACAGATCAGAATAATGATAGTACACTGGCTACAATTGCAGAAAAAGCATTAATTACTTGAATAGTGCTTATTTTTTGTCCAGACCTTGACCTAGTATTAGTAAATAGTACGTGTAACTAGTATTAGAAGAGAGAGAAGCTCGAATAGGCTAGAAGTAAAAGTTAGAACTAGGCTTAGAACTAGCTTAGTACTAGCTGAGCCGTTAGTAGTAGCTAGAATAGTCCCGGGGGGGCACGCCATTGTTAAAGGTACTGCATGGGGACGCGCCGCTGGACAGGGTATATTTTCCGAACATTATTATTGGCACTAGCTCTAGTAACTATAGCCGCGTACGGTTGCCGCTGCCAGCCAGCCGCCGCAGCGGCAACCATACGGGGCTTATAGTTACTAGAGCTAATTGGCACAGGGTGTATTTTCCAAAACATCATTATTGGCAACAGAGTTATCTAGATACCACACCATCAAGCTGATATTGGCTAATATGGCAAACAATATTGGGCCAATATCACCAGGCCAATATTGGACCAATTATAATTTGAATATAGGCAGATATTGGTCAATATCGGCCAAATTGGTAAAACAATATTGGCAATATCACCAGGCCGATATTGGACCATATGCCTATATGACACGAGGACAGGATCGACGTAACCGAAGTGGGCAGTATATTGGGACAGGCTGTATTTAGGCGGCAAAGCCGGTTTGCGAACAGGGTAGGCTGTTCAAGGTCACCGAGGACCCCCTACCTACTCTAGCCTCTAGTACTATAGCCGGCGTACAGTTCGCAGGACTAGAGCTACCCCTACCTAAACTGACCAGGCTCTTCGACTGTTACACGTCGAGGAGGGCCAACGTAGTGTTAAGCGAGAAGGACTTGTGGCTAACCCCTACCTAATCACAGGCACTTGAGGCGTTTCATAAAAATATAATGCTAATAAATAGGAAATCTATTTACTACCAAAGTCTTAATGTTTCTATATCTCTCTTCCCAGCTATTATTGCCGACAATTTCCCTGTAAATGCAGTCCAAATGCTTTCTGTAAACACACACGCCGCCATTGCTGTCACGCTGCACACTACACTTAAATATCAGGGGCGGATCCAGAGGAAGTATTGGGTGACCAGTTTCCATATGTTCTTCTGGCAGCTGGGGGTCTGGGGCATGACTCGAATCCCCGGTTTTTTTTTTAAATTAGGCTATATTTGGTGCATTCTGGTGAATTTTGAGGCTCGGTGTCCGTTTTTCTGGAAACCGGTGCAAACCGGCCTAAATCCGCGCTGAATATATATAGTATCATAGTATTACTATTACTATTTATAGTATTAGTAAACTATATATTTAAGTGTCAGTGTGCAGCGTGAGGCAAGGCAAATGCGGCCGGCGTGTTGTTTTACACCTACAGAGCGAGATTGAGCATCTTGGACGGCATTACAGGAAATTGTCGGCAGTAAAACTAATACTAATAGGTGAAAGAGAGTATAGAAACTTTGGGTAGAGACTTTGGTAGTAAATAGATTTCCTATTTATTTAGCATTACATTTTATTGAAACGCTCCAAGTGCCTGTGACAGTGTGGCTGTGCCTAGCTCTAGTGGCGCTATTAACTGCTATTAGTGCTATTAGTGCTATTAACTGCTATTAGTGGCGTTCATTAACTGGCCGCCCCCCCCCACATTCGCGGAAGATAGTGCGTAAGAAATTTTTTTATAACCAGCATGTACAGGCCTTGATCGTTAACTACAACGCGTATAAGTCAGAGACAAAACTGTAACCCCGTTCTCGTACTTATTCATCACTGAATGAAACACTGGACCGGTTATAACGATTGCTAATATTACTACGTACTTTTGTATCACTTACTTATCAACAACTGAAACATGCGCCCTTGTTTAGCACGCGCGCTGTGGTCAAGTGCTAGATAGGAAACTTCTCACGAACCCCGCATCTTACTTCGTGGAAATAACCTGTTTTCCGCACATAAGAGAAGCGGAAGGCCCGTCTATATTTTCGGCGCGGCGGCGCGTTGGATCGAATTGTTGTTGTGCCAGCTTTACTGTTTACACTTTTACAGTAATTTAATTACTAATTAGTACACACTGTGTTTACATATATGATATAGATTTGAAATGTTTGTCTGCTCAAGAGTTATTAAAAGTTTGTTAGGTTTGTTTTATTTGATTTCCAGTGCTTATTTCTTAGATGCGCGAAACCACTGACTACGTGTGAACGCGCCTATAGCCCATAGGGTCTAGGCCCCCAAGGGTACTGCCGGAACGTACCCTGGTAACTATTTGATATGGTTAGGGTTAGGGAGTAGGCGTAGGCGACTCCTATAGACTCGTTACGTTAGTGGAGTAGGCGAGGTAACGGTCGGCATATTAGATAGTACCAGGTACGTTCGCGGTGTCACGGTCTGATGATTACCCCCAGTCTGAAATTACCCTAGCGCTACTGCGCATGCGCCACGCATCGCGGCACGAGGTGCTGGTGTAAAGCGCAGGAGCAAAAATTTCCATTGGTTAACTGAGACTGCCACCGTCACAGCAGTCAGCGTCTTAACGCATTTGTTTAGGGCAAAGTTGTTTGTATATCCCCCATTTGTTAAAAATACGAACAGAAACAGTTTATTATTTCTGGCCAGATTCAATATGGCTATACCGGCACGCGCGGCGTATGACCCGACTCCATAATGGCTAGGAATGAGGAAGGGGAGAAGGGAGAAGCTGGTGGAGGAGGAAGGGGAGAAGGGAGAAGTGTGGGAGAAGGGGAAGGGAGAAGCTGGTGGAGAAGGAGGAAGGGGAGAAGGAAGAAGGTGGTGGAGAAGGATGAGGGAGAAACGGTGGAGAAGGAGGAGGGGAGAAGGGAGAAGGTGTTGGGAAGAAGGAGGGGGAGAAGCTGGTGGGAGAAGGAGGAGGGGGAGAAGAGAGGTGGTGGAGAAGGAGGGGAGAAGCTGGTGGAGCAGGAGGAAGGAAGAAGAGGGGAGAAGGGAGCTGGTGGAGGAGGAGGGGGAGAAAGGAGAGCTGGTGGAGAAGAAGGAGGGGGAGAAGGAGAAGGTGGTGGAAGGAGGAGAGAGAAGCTGGTGGAGAAGGAGGAAGGGAGAAGGGAGAAGGTGGTGAGGAGGGGAGAAGCTGGTGGAGAAGGAGAAAGGAGAGAAGGAGGGGAGAAGGGAGAAGCTGTGAGGAGGAAGGGGAGAAGGAGAAGGTGGTGGAGAAGGAGGAAGGGAGAGCTGGTGGAGAAGGAGGAAGGGGAAGGAAGAAGGTGGTGGAGAGGATGAAGGGGAGAAACTGGTGCGAGAGAGGAGGAGGGGAAAGAAGGAGAAGGGTGTTTTGGAGAAGACGGAGGGGCAGAAGCTGGTGGGAGAAGGAGGAGGGGAGAAGAGAGTGTGGCTGGAGAAAAGGACAAGAGGAAGAAGCGTGGTGGAAGGAGAGGGGGAGGAAGGGAGAAGGTTGTGGAGGTAGGGGGAGAAGCTGGTGGACAAGAGGAGGGAGGGAGATACCCTGGTGGAGAAGGAGGAAGGGAGAAGGAGGGGACGAGGGAGCTGTAGAGGAGAGGGAGAAGAAGGGAAGAAGCTGTGGAGAAGGAGGGGAGAAGGGAGAAGGTGGTGGAATAGTGAGGAGGGGAAGAGCTGGTGGAGAAGAGGAAAGGAAGGCGAGAAGGAGAAGAGGTTGTGGAGGAGAGGGGAGAACGCTGGTGGAGAAGGGAGCAAGGAGAGAAGGATGGGAGAAGCGCGCTGGTGGAGGAGGAGGAGGGAGAGAGGGAGAAGTGGATAAGGAGGGGGAGAAGCGGTGCTGGTGGAGGAGGAGGGAAGCGAGAAGGGCGGAGGAGGGGAAAGTGTGCGGAAGGAGGGGGAGAAGGCGATGCGGGTGTGAGAAGGAGAGGGGAGAGCTGGTGAGAAGGGGAGGAGAGAG